AGGTTGGTAGGAGAAAAAAAACGTACCTGAAATGCCAGTAGAACAGAGTTTTGATTGGTGGCACAATTTCATCAATACTGAGCTACTTAGGTTTAACAAATGCACATTAAAAAAAGGATGTTTGTGCTGCCCTTGCAAAATACTTCCAAAGCTGTAATTCCTAGGAGCCCTTCTCGGCCTGGGAAGCAGTACTGCAGACAATTTACCTTCAAGCTGACTCAGTACTCCCAAGTGAAACAGCACAATGTTAAGTACAGCTCATTCATGCTTAAGCACATGTATAAATATAAAAACGGAGCACACCTACTGTTTGCCATCTCGCTGTTTTCCCACTCATTACTGACTATCAAAACTATTATAAACTACAGATCTATGCCCTTGGCATCTGACTGACTCCTTGAGAAGCCACAACACTTTCCAGTGAAAACATAAGCAGGCCATCTCTTCAGTGGCAACAAACACTTCTGACAAAATAATATTCTGCTATTTGTAGGGGAACATAATCACTAGGTACAAACAAACTATTAAAATTTTATGGAGTGACCACACAGTAAGATATTGCATATTTTATTTTCATTCCAGCAAAATAATCCACCAAATCACCTATCTTTGATGCTACAAATCCCCTATCTTGGCTGGCAAAAAATAAAATAAAGGAGTAATCCTTAAGGTGATTATTCTAAAAAAAAAATTAGCAAATACTTGATTATCAGTATCAAATCATCAGTAAGACTTAATAGGTGATATCTTGCCCATATGGGTCTTCAGCTAAAATAAGAGTTTTATCCCTTAATCTGCAAACCTACAATTCATTCAACACAAATGATTTCAAGCCAGAAGACAGACAGACTGAGTATTCTGAATATTATGCCAGAAGACAGACAGACTGAGTATTCTGAACATTCTAGTTCTGAGTGCTATTTTACCAGATTGAAATTACTTCAGACTAGGTAGACACCTTGAGGATAGTTTCCCACGATCAAATATGATTTCATTGACTATCATTTCTAGGACTTTATGGCATAATCATCTTTCAGTAGGGGCCAATCATTCCACTTGGGATAAAAATGAAGTATGCATTCAAGTAATTCACTATGTAGCTAGAATCTTCTGCAATACAGGCTTGTATAAACAATGTTGACTTCATGCCCATCAAATTGCCAGCATTTCCATAGTACCAAAATGAAAATTTATTCCAAAAATGTACGTGTTCTGTTCCCACTTGTGGACAAAAACTGAAACAAGGACACAATAAAAGTTAAATTAAGGTGTTTTATACCATCATAGTTTCTAATGAACTTTCTGAAACATTAAGTAATACCTTGCTGGTTTCCTTACTCTCAGTCAATGGAGCTGATCTTACCAGGTAAAAAGTAATTCCTGTATTAGGTTATATGATTTCTAAGGTCTTTTCCATCTCTAAGACTATGCAATTCTAGTAAATTATGTAAATCAGAATAATTTGTAACTTTACTCCTGGGAATGTACTGCACTCAGGAAATTAGGGCACCATTTTGCACTGAAGTGATATCATAAAATTTCTAAACAGTACTCAAGCAGCCTGAGGGAGTTAATGTTATTTAACAAAGATTCATATAGTGTTTCCTATATGCCCAGCATTGTTCTAAAGTGCTTTGTAAATATGAACTCATTTATATATTTTCAGTAACTAAGTTCTTGTGAAGCTTAATGATTACATTAATTGCCATTTACCAATGAATTAAAGTGAACAATCACATTCACTTACTGTGTGAAATTAAGAGTATTCATTTCCAACAATTAGGATTATCCCACATTAACATGAATCGAGTTAGGTAACTAACTTTCCTTACATAAATCCTTCCATGGCTCCCCACTTCCCTCAGGAGAAAATTCAAATTCCTCAGCAAGTCACGAAGGTATACAGCATCTGCTGCCCACTTTCCTGTTTTGTCTCACCTATCCCTTAAATCCTCACTATCTGGAGTTAACAAAAAAGTGTGCTGACTCCTACATCCCTATATACTTGCCCCTTCTGTTTGATATGGCCTCCACCTTACCTTTAACTTGGACAATTACTATTTATCCTGAATACACAACTCAGACATCACCTCTTCCTAAAAGCCCTCCATGCTTGCCCTCCTGGTTAAGTAGAGGGTCTTCTCTGCTCCCACAGCTCTCTATGACTGCCTCCAGCAAAATACATAAAATGGCAGAGTATAATTGTTCATTCAGTTATCCATTGCCCCACTTATCTGCGAACTCCTTAAGGGCTACAACTAGAACATCATCCTGATTTTATTTCTGAAGTAGAAACGAAGTTACTAAAAACATGTATGGGTATCTAAGATACCATAAATTACATCTATTGAATGACCAAAGAAAGATACCATTAAAAGCTTATGCCCAAAGAAATAGCAAGGTCTGTATAAAATCAACTTAGGTTTTCAGGTCTCAATGACAGCTTTCAGGGAAATTAGAAATATCAAAATGTCAAGAAGAACTCCTTAGTTTCCTAACTGTTGAAAGAGTTCACTTGTGGCAACCAAGTCTTTCCAACTCTAACTGCCAGATTCAGTCTTCATCATCAATGATTTCCAATTGTAGTCTAAGGAGCATGGTAAACGAAGGGCTCTCCAGGTGATCCTAGACATCCAGCCAAAATGTACTGTGTGTACTTGCCTATGTGCCAGGCATTGATATAATTTCTTGTAATAATTATATTGATGACAAGATAGTATCTTTACTCTCATTTCTGACTTGAATTAATAATTCACGCTGTTTAATCTAAACTCTACCAATTCATTCACACTTCACCAAATGTCAATCATTCTTTCTTACTGTAAGGTTTATTGCTGTAGAAAAGAAGATACATGGCTCAAGGTATCTTCCGCCCAATTAGAGGCCTGTGAGCCAAAGCACTGGAGAAACGGTACTTCACATGGGGAGGAAAGAAGGAGAACTGGCTTGTTTTCCAAAAGTGGGTAGTCTTTTACCAAGAGAGAGAAGGACCTAAGGTGCCTGAAGACATTACCCGCATGAGGCAGAGACTCTGAGAGTTTCCAAGTTCAGTCTCGTGCTTTTCTTCTTCTGCATCTCTTCTTCCTTCTGTCTCCCTTCCTCTCCCAGTAAGCCTTTGTGATTTGTTTTAAAGCACTTGACTATATCAGCAAGGAGCCCTGGTGGCACAGGGCTTAAGAGCTCAGCTGCTAACCAAAGGGATGGCAGTTCGAATCCACCAGCCACTCCTTCGAAACCCTATGGGGCAGTTCTACTCTGTCCTGTAGGATCACACTATGAGTTGGAATCGGCTTGACAGCAATGGTATATCAGCAAAATCCAGACTGTGGGAAGCTCTTCAGGACAGAAGACCCCATGTCTTCAAGGAATTAATTGCAAGGAAAAAAACAAAGAAGTGGACAGGCAAAAACTATGTATTAAAAAATACTTGAAAAATAAAACATGCACACAAAAATCAACTAATTGCAATCTGTAGACATTTGGATCCTGATTCAAACAAACATAAATGCATACATACACATACGATATTTATGAGACAACTGGAAATTTGAAAAGACTGGATATTTGATGCTATTAAGGAATCACTCTTAATTTTTTCAGATGGCTAGCACTGTAGTTACATTTTTTTAAAGAATACTTATCTTTTAGAGGTACATACTAAATTTTTTTTGTTAATAAAATTTTATGTCTGGAATTTGCTTCAAAATAAAACAGGAAAGGGAAGAAAGTAGGTAAGATATAGATAAAACAAGATTAGCTATGAGGTGTTAATTGTTGAAGCTGGGGGTTCAACACTATTCTGTCTACTTTTACATGTGTTTGAAATTTTTACAATACAATGCTCATAAGTGCATGTGAAAATATTCCTCTACAGAAACAACCCTAACTTACTGAAAAGTAAGAGAGGGAAACTGTGTTCCTGCTTCTTCAGTTTCACTATGGAAACAAGCCAAAATTGAGAAAGAAAAAAGGTTTTTACCAAACATTAACTCAAATAATAGAACTCTTCATTAAATGTTTGACATATATTAGATTTTCTACTATAATAATGTAACTTTCAAGGGTATTCCTGAAACCCTTTAATGTCCTATCTTATTTTAATAAAATTTTAACAGAATTAAGTAGTTGACTATAAATATAGATTTAAATAATACTTTTCTATTTATACATTTTACATATACAGACAAGTTACTATAACTATTACATCATCAATACACATCCTAAAGTATTAATGAATGGTTACACATATGAAAACGTTCAGCCTGCCTTTCCTTTAGTGAAGTCTACACAAATTTTCAACTACATGAACAAGTCCTATCTTAATATGTACTATAGGAGGATGAATGGCAGGTTGATGTATATAAATACACAAAATATTTACATACCCTCAAAATATTTACTGAAGTTAAAAATAATTTCCAGTCATATTTGGATATGTAGTATTGATCTAAATATTGGTGCAATGGTAAACTTAGATTTTTTTAACCTAATTTCTAAATGTCCAATAAACAACACAGCTCTGATTGTATTAAGAGGGCTGCTACCAAAGACGAAACAGTCTTTCTGGGAGGTAAAGGTAGGTGGGCACATTTCTGGTGTCCGCAAATCAGACTGCGCTAAGAATCTTAACAGTTTAGCTTATTTTCAGGGTATGAGTTTCAACAGAGATGTCTAGTCTTTTTTTTTTCTAAAAATTTCTACAGTACCATCTTGGGTTAAATCGCTTATGAAGTCTTCGAGAATTAAAACAATAATGATGCAAACTTTACCCAAATACCATATTCCCTTTCCCATACGCCTGGCTTTTGCTTGACAGTGACGAGGGGGTCTGCCTCTTTCTTTTTTGTACAGGAAGCGCCATGCATGACTCGCATTAGGATTGCGCTCATTTCGCCAAAGACACCGCGTCTCCGGGGCAACCGAGAACAAACGTGGGGTCGCGGGAGGGCTGGGCCGCGACGCACTGAAGACCACCCACCCACCCCGGCAGCGCCTCTCACCTGCCGACCGCCCGGGTCGACCCGCACCCGCGTGTCGAGCAAGTCGTGCCGAGTTTCGTCCTCGTCGCTGGATCGGGAGATAAGCCGGAGCGGCACGATGCTCTGGCGCTCCAGGAAACGGTTGTCGTTCCTCCTCTCCAGCTCCGTCAACGAGGCGTCTCCTCCAGCCAGGAAGGGGGCAGAAGGAAGTGGGGAGAACAGACAAAAATATCACCCTGGCCCACACTCATCCATCCTGCGGTCCTACGTTTCCCCTACGAAAATCCCACCGTCCCCTCCCTCCAGGAGCTCATCTGGGAAAGACGCAGAGAGAATCAGCCCGGAGAGCCTTGGACCAGTTCATCTCAGAGCATCCAGGATCGGGGCCCAGAAGCAGAGCACCCCTTTCCCCATCCTCCCCCATTCTTCTTCAGAAGAAAAAGAGGCATTTGACCGAAAGCTTCCAATGCATCCGTGCGCCCACACACACATATATTTTTGCTCCACATTTCCCCATCCTTCCAAATAAAAATCTCCCCGCGCACTCAGGAAATAGGGGTGCCCCCTTTTCACTGCGCCTGAGGACTCCAGAAATTCCCGGGAAACGGCCCGTCCCACAGCGACAGATGCGGCGAACTTACCTGCCCGGCCGCAGAGCACCGGGGGACAGGTCCCCAAAGCGCAGAGCAGCAAGAAGAGCACGGACGCAGCCGCCGCCGCCTGCATAGTGCTGCCCGTCAGCCCGCCTCGCCAGAGACGCTCAGTTCCTCATGACCAGGCAGCAGGGTCTGGCTCTGGCGTCCGGCACCCCTTGGCTCGCCTCGGCCGCCACCTCCCAGCCCCGGCCGGTGCTGCAGCCGCCGCAGCGCTGCAGGCTCCACCGAGGCGCTGCTTCAATGCTGCGTTGTGCTCCGCGGGCGCTTCCGCTGGCGGGGGTGCGGCGAGCGAGTGCTGCATTGGGCGGTTGGCTGTAGCTAAGTGGTTTCTAGCGCCTCCCACCTCATCCTTTGGCAAAGGCTCAGGCAAGCGTTGAGCTCTCAGCGGGGAGCGATCTGCCGGTGCACTCGTCCCCCGCGCGGATAGGGGCGCGCGCAGGAGAGTCAGCTGGGAAATGTAGTTCTGTCTCCACGTTGCGCTCCGCTACACGACGACGCGGGCTGTCTCGACCTCGTGACCGCTAGGTCCTCTGTATCCTGCAGACGGGAGGAAGGAGAAAGGCCAAAGAGAGGTCATCGCTAGCCGGCTACCTGGCACCAAGGATTTCCAGCCGCTGCTGATATCAGGAGCCGGAATTCATCCACGTCGTCCGCAAAGAAATATAAGAGTGCTTCCCACAGATTTAGTAATTACTTAAACTATTACGACGGAATCATCCCCTTATGGGTACAGGGTAAGTTAATCATTCCACAAATTATGATTGAAGTCCTACTATGTGCCAGATCGTTGGCCAAGCGCAGGGGACACAACCCTGAACGATGCGATTGTGAAAGGCGCCTGCTCTCAAATACAGTAAACAACGTTTTTTACAATACAGTGTGAAAAGTACTGTTGGATTTTTGGTTAATACCTGGAGGAAGGCCCTCTAATCCAAAACGCAGGAGTTAGGGAGAACCATCTGGAGAAGTTCTTCGCAGAGACTTAAAAGGATGTGTTGGAGTTACTCCGAGTATCCAAGATGTTTTTGTTTTTCTCTAATATCTGCCTTCTCCAAACCTATATTTGAAATTCAGACATGGGGAACTACTTTCTCAGGCTGCTTATTCCATTTTCATCTAACTCCAAATGTAAAAAATTCTTCAGGATAAAACAATATTAAAATAATTATCAACATAACTAACACGTGTATAGTGTTTTACAGTTTTTCAGAGCTCACATATATTGTCATCTGATCCTTAGATCAATAATTTAATAAGTAGTAGTAGTCCTGTTTTAGAGACCAGGAAATTAAGGTTTAGAGCTGTGCCTTTTAAATACTGTAGCCACTAGCCACAGTGACTATTTAAATTTAAATTAATTAAAACAAAAATTGAGTTCCTGGCGCTCCTCTCGGCCCAGGAGAGTGGCCGGGAGGAGGGAGCGCGGGGCTCAGTTTTGGCAGCGTGGGCCACCGGGCCCAGCTCAAGGGCAAACTGTGGTCTCGGGAGCGGGGACCTCCGAGTGTCGCGCGGTAGGGCCTGGCTGCGGTGGAGCCCGGCCGCCGCGGCCGCCGGAAGGTCGACCTCTATTAACTCAACTTCTATTGAAACAATACCGGAATGATATCATACCTTTGGAGAGAGTCACACCCATTTCATGCAGAATCGGCTAGAATAAAGGGCCAAACCTCATTGTCCACCTTCAAGGTTGGAGAAGATCAGCCAGAAGTGAAATCTGAAGTTCTGAAGGAACATATTTTGTGGCATCCTTTTAAAGGGAGACATAAAGACACAGACATTTACTGAGAGGCAAACCCATTGCTGGGCTGATGACTTCCACCTGGATCATAGTACGTTTCTTTCATCATGTTTGGCTGGCAAACATTAACTTCTCTTTACTCCAACATTTCTCTCTGCTTTATCTTAGAATGTCAGAACTTTTGCATGAAAGATTATTCCAAATTATCAAATAAACAATACATGATTTAAAGTAAAAAAAAAAAATTGAGTTCCTTAGTCACAGTAGCCACATTTTAAGTGCTGAGTAGCTACCTCTGCCTAGTAGCTACTGTATAGGACAGTAAAGATAGAGAACATGTCCATCTTTGCAGAAAGTTCTATCAGATAGCAATGGCTTCTAGAATTTAAATGCCCAAGGTCCCGTGGCTAGTCATAAGTAGACTGGGACCTGGATCTCCTGCTTTCAATTCTGAGTTCCACAACATCCCCCTAGTTGAAACCTGTGTTTATGTAACTTCCATCTTGATACGAGTTCTCCTTAGAACATAAAAAGGAATTCATCCCTCTTCCACATGATGCTCTTCAAACGTTTGGGGATATTTTGCTTCTTCCTTGGAGGAAAACCATGTGACATGGTTTCAGGGTCCCTTACCATAATGATGATCTGAGAATACACTCCAGTGTGCCAATATTCAAACTAAACTGTAGTGTCCGAAATTAAGTATAATTTAATGGTTTCAAAGCAGACAGTAGAGATAAACTCTCTTACCCTAAATTCTAGCTCAAGAAGTCATCCTATCATTTTTTTTTTGGTAGGCACACCTCACTAACATTTTCTCAAAATCTTCAAGTAAATGGGACACAATTGTACAATGAATAAGGGGTACCAGATTTCATTAGTACACTTTAGACCTTAAGCCACTGTCTTTGTATTGTAGTGCTGCTATAACAGAAATAACAAAAACAGTGGATGGCTTTAACGAACAGAAATTTATCATCTCACAGTTTAGGAAGCTAGAAGTCCGAATTCAGGGCACCAGTTCTAGAGGAAGGCTTTCACTCACTGTCAACTCTGGGGGAAGGTCATTGTCATCAATTTTACCCTGAGTCTAGGAGTTTCTCAGCACAGGGACCCCAGACCCAAAGTACCCACTCCACTCCTGGCTCTTCTTTTTTGGTGGTAGGAGGTCTCTCTTTCTCTCTGCTCTCTTCTCTCTTTTATATCACAAGAGAGGTTGACTCAAGATACAACCTAATCCTGTAGATTGTGTCCTGCCTCATTAACATAATTGCCTCTAATCCAGCCTCATTAACATCGTAAAACCCAATGCCCCTAAGTCAATTTTGACTCATAGCAACCTATAGGACAGAGTAGAACTGCCCCCATAGGGCTTCCAAGAAACGGCTGGTGAATTTGAACTGGCAACCTTTTGGTAAGCAGCCAAGCTCTTAACCACTGTGCCACCAGGGCTTCACTACCATAGAGGTTAGGATTTACAACACATAGGATAATTACATCAGTTCAAAAACTGGAAGACAACCACCCAATACCAGACATCATAGCCTAACCAAGTGGACACACATTTTTGGGGGACACAATTCAGTCCATAACATAGACTAAGATGGACTGCAAAGAAAGGCCTGGCCATCTACTTCCAAAAATCAGTCAATGAAAATATGGATCACAGTGGTCAGATCCACAACTGAGCGTGGGGATGGCACATGACCAGGCAGAATTTTGGTCCGTTGTGCGTGGCAGTGAGTCAGGGGCCAACTTAACAGGAGGTAGCAACAACAAAACAGATTAAACTATGTTTTTTAACCAATTTTTTTTTCAATATAACCTTGCAAACAAAAAATTTATTTTTTCTATTCTGCTGAGCACTGGCAGCAAGCCACACATATACTAGAAGATATGATAATAAGATGCTAAGATAAGAACATGAAAATATAACATGTCAATGGAAATGTACAGAGTTCCTGTAAAAGAAGGGGAAGAATCTCTTTTGAATCTCTGACAAAGTGTGCGTTGGTCACATCTTGACTCTCATACACAGTGTATACATATGTGTGTGTGTGTGTGTGTGTGTGTGTGTGTGTGTATACAAAAGTGGGTTTTTTAACTCAAATTATATGACTTTGCCTGTGTCAATCACCATTTTGCACATTACATTGTTTCAATCTTATATTTTGCTCTTCTTTTAAAAAAAAAGTGGAAATGGAAAAATGAAAAACCTAGTGCTAATAAAAGTGTATGTCATTATATACTTAATGTAATTTTTTAGAAAAATGGATATCTTTGTTACTGTTGCTGTTATTGTTAGGTGACATCAAGTTGGTTCTGACAGCGACCCTACGTACAACAGAATGAAACACTGCTTGGTCCTGTGCCATCCTGACGATCATTGCTATGCTTGAGCCCATCGTTGCAACCACTGTGTCAATCCATCTCATTGAGGGTCCTTCTCTCTTTCACTGACCTTCTACTTTACCAAGCATGATGTCCTTCTCCAGGGACTGATCCCTCCTAATAACATGTCCAAAGTACATAAGATGAAGTCTCCACATCCTTGCTTCTAAGGAGCATTCTGGCTGTACTTCTTCCAAGACAGGTTTGTTCGTTCTTCTGGCAGTATAGCATATATTCAATATTCTTTGTCAACACCATAATTCAAAGGCATTGATTCTTCTTCAGTCTTCCTTATGCAATGTCCAGCTTCCAAATGCATATGAGGCAATTGAAAATACCATGGCTTGAGTCAAGTGCACTTTAGTCCTCAAGGTGACATCTTTGCTTTTTAACACGTTGAAGAGGTCTTTTGCAGCAGATTTCCCAATGCAATATGTCATTTGATTTCATGACTTCTGCTTCCATGGGTATTGATTCTGGACCCAAGTAAAATGAAATCTTTGACAACTTCAGTCTTTACTCCATGTATCATGATGTTGCTTATTGATCCAGTTGTGAGGATTTTTGTTTTCTTGATGTTGAGGTGCAATCCATACTGAAGGCTGTAGTCTTTGTTCTTCATCAGTAAGTGCTTCAAGTCTTCTTTGCTTTCAGCAAGCAAGGTTATGTCACCTGCATATCACAAGTTGTTAGTGAGTTTTCCTTAATCCTGATACTGTGTTCTTCATATAGTCCAGCTTCTTGGATTTTTTTGCTCACAATACAGATTGAATAAGTATGGGGAAAGAATACAGCCCTAACGTACACTTTTCCTGATTTTAAACCACACAGTATCCCCTTGTTATGTTGGAACGACTGCCTCTTGCTCTATGCACGGGTTCCGCATGAGCACAATTAAGTGTTCTGGAATTCCCATTCTTCACAATGTTACCTGTAATTTGTTATGATCCACATAATCAAATGCCTTCACATAGTCAATAAAACACAGGTAAA